TGGCCTGCTGTGTTCATCCAGCTCTACACCTTGTCATCTCAGCTTCTCCAGCATCTGCAGTTCCTACTATCTCCTTTCCTCTGATTGTGAGTTTGGTAATGGATTCACCTGAGAGTCCAAGGCTTTTGATTGAAATTTCACCATGGAGCTAATCTAGACTAGCAGTATTCAGGTACACAGTCTGGTTGGAAATGTATTTTGTTTGTGTGCAATATTAAATTGTGACCCTGTCTGCCTGCTCCAGTCAATGTAAAATAATCTCAGTATTTTGAAGAGCAGGAATTCTGCGGGTGTCCCAGCCAGGACAGCATTCCTGCATCAACCAAATCACCCAGTGGGAATAATGTGCTCATTCCTTCCCATTTATGTCCAGAGCTCCCTGTGGAGTTTGTCTCCAGGACTGGCCCCTGCAAATTGACCTGTTGCTGATAAAATGTTTCGGGCTGTTCTCCAGGTTGAAAAAGCTCGTTTTTAATTATTTTTGAGGCTTTGAGACTTCACTTTTGGAAACATCCGGTTATTACTGAGATTTCACGAGGTTAAGAAAATATATTCAGGAACAAAAACAAAGTTGCTGGAAAAGCTCAGCAGGTCTGCTCTGCACTGAGTTCTGAAGAAGGGTCACCGGACCTGAAACGTTAACGTTTTTTTTCCTTCACAGATGCTGCCAGACCTGCTGAGCTTTTCCAGCGACTTTGTCTTTGTTCTTGAGTGCAAAAAACAATCGGCTAGACAGAGAAGCTGTCCACTTTGCCTGTGACTGTTGTAATTTCACTGTGCACCAGTCTGATTCCCTCCCGGAGTTGGGAGTTTCACAGATCTCCTGATTAACAGAAACTAAGACAGAAATTGCTGGATAAACTCCTGGCTAACAGAACTGGCGACCAATGGACAATGCTTTAATTTTAAAGCCGTCAAAACAGCCTTCCACAGGGAGACTGCACCAGAGCCCCGGGTTCAGGAGAGTATGAGCAGAGAGAGAAGGGGTCAGGATTTTAATTAAAAGACTGATGGACCCTGAATGGTCCTGGGTTAGACCAGGGTCAAGTGAATGTGGACTGGGGAGAGAGGGAACCTGCAGCACTGTCTCCAGACTGTCCTGTACCTCCCAGAATGAGCCCAGTGAAAGGTCAGACTTCCCAAGACAGTGCTGTCAAAGCAAGATCTAGACATGAACCTGCTGTTGAAACCCGATAACAGCAGGTTCATGTCTAGATCTCACAGGCTCGAGCTTTCCTGTTTGAAATATGCCCAGAGTACTCTCTCTCTCTCTCTCCAACCACAGAGTTTCAACTCCGAGAGACATGGACCATTTGGAACCCTCTCTCCAGCTCTTCCCAATCTCTATGTACCGCCACCAAAGACAAGCTCCAAACCCCCACTTCTCAAACGTCCCACTCCCTGACCGGCGGGATATTGGATAGTTTTATTTTGGTCAGCTCTCTAAACCTGTTGGAGCCCCGGGATGGGGGTGAGGAACATTCACAGGCGCCAAGAAACATCAATTCCTGCCCAACCCCATTCCCAATGACCGAGTGCTTCCTCCGTTTAACCGGGACACTCCACCGGTTCCTCTCCCCCAACCCCCCTCCTCCTTCTCTCTTCCCCCCTTTCCTCGCTCTCTCTCTCATTTTCTCTCTCTCTCCCCCCTCTCTTTATGTTTCTTCTTCTCCCTTCGCTTTCTCTCCTTTTCCCCCTCCTCTGTCACTCTTCCTCTCTCCCTTCTCTCTTTGTCTCCCTCCCTTTCCCCTCTCCACCCCCCCACCCCCCCACCCCCTGTGCCTGCACACACACACACACACGGAGAGTGCGAGTGAGTGTGTGTGTGTCGGGGGTTATAGCTGCAGTTTTTGACAGTTCAGACTCACCCATCATTTCAGCCCTGGATTTCGGAGAACGCTTGGCACGTCGCTTAAAGAAGTTAGAAGCGTCTTGTTCAGACACGAAAACCTGCCTCTTCATTCCTGCCAAATCAATAAAGAGACTTTTCATTGGGACGAATAGACGCGGGCTTGTACTGAGTCTGTATTGAAATTCTCCTTACGTTGCTGGTCTTCTGGTTTGTTCGTTTTATCCAGAGGCACCGCGGCGCATTCACTCTCCCGGAGAACTACAAAGTAGAAAATCAAAACAGAAACACATTTAATTCGGGATAAAGGCACAAATTACAAACGTTGGAGAGACAATCTGAGGATGGCAAGTCAGATTTTTCAGACACTGGGGGCTTCCATTTGAAACTTTCACAGTTTATTCAGTGTGTCCCCCTGTAGTGAAAAGTTCTCCCCCCCTCCCCTCCAGCCCCTGTCTGAAGGTAAAATAATCCACCAGATCTCCTGGTCTTAATTAAAACACCAAGCGGAGCAAGTGAGCATGACCCTCCCGCTACGCAGCAGCAATTCTGGTGATTCGGAATTCTTACATTTTACTGAAATGCATTTTTAAAAAGCAAATGTGTCATGTTAGTAATATGTCGGTGTAAAATTCCAGAACCCAGGGAGTTAAGTGTCCACAAAGTTCTGGCTGTATTTGCAATCAATCCGGATTATTGCAGTCCTCTGAGCCAGAGTGCTCTGGACAACAGAGAGCAGGGGGACACACTCTGTATGGGTCTCTCCCCCTCTCTGTCTCTCTATGTATCTCTCCTCCCTCTCTATATCTGTCTCTCCCTCTCTCTGT